CAAATATATGTATTGTAAATATTTTCTTTTAGTCTGTGGCTTGACTTCTCATTTTCTTAATGGTATCTAAGAAAAGTTTTGAATTTTGATGAAGATTCTTTGCCTACTCCAGATAGCAAAGGTTGTTCTCCTGTTTTCTTTTTAGAGGTCTTATAGTTGTAGCTATTATGTTTAGGACTGTGATCCATTTCTTGGTAATTTTTGTGTATGGGGTGAAGTGTAGGGGTCCAGATTTATTTTTTACCATACAGAGATCTAGTTGTTCTAGTACAAATTATTGAAAAACTTTACTTTCCCCACTGAATTACCTTGGAACCTTTGTTTAAAAAAACAACAACAACAATTGACCACATGTGTTTAGACCTATTTCTGTACTCTCTGTTCAGTTTCATTGATCTATGTGTCTCTGTGCCCATATCATACTAACCTAATTATTGTGACTTTATACTGTCTTGAAATCAAGTACTGTAAGTCTTCAAACTTTGTAGTTTTTTAAAAATTCTTTTGGCCATTTTGTGTACTTGGAATCAGCTTATCAAATCCCTGCAAAAAATTCCTTCTAGAATTTTGATTCAGCTTGCAGTTGACTCTCAGCAAGAATTGACATCTTAATGATATTGAATCTTCCAATCCATGAACATGGTATACTTACCCATTTTTTAAGATCACCTTTAATTTTTCACAGCAGAGTTTTGTATTATCAGTGTACAGGTCTTGTAGATATTTTGTTGAATTTTCCCCTACGTAATTGTTGGGTGCAATTGTAAATAATGTTTTTAAATTATATTGTCTAGTTGTTCATTGCAAGTATACAGAAATACAATCAATTTTTGTATATTGGCCATCTGTCTTGCAACCTTGCTAATAAACTCACTTGTTAGTTTTATTAGTCTTTGGTAGATTCCTTAAGATTTTTCTAAGTACACTGTCATGTCATCTACAGATGAAGACCCTTTTATGTATTCCTCTCTAGTTCCTATGCCTTTTATTTCCTTGTATGAATTTACTACACTGGCTAAGACTTCTAGTACAGTGTTGAAAAGAAGTGATGAGAGTGGACATCCTTGCCTTGTTCCTGATTAGATAGAAGAGGGTCCTTTACCACTGTGATGTTTGCTGTAGGTTTTCATAAATGCCCTTTATTAGGTTGAGGAAGTTTCCTTCTGTTCCAGATTTTCAAAACTTTTCATAAATGAATTTGTCAAATGCTTTTTCTGCATCTATTGAAATGATTATATAATTTTTAACCTTTATTCTGTTGAAATGGCAAATAACTTTATTTTTCAGATGCTGAAAAGGCTTTCATCTTTGAGATAAACCTCACTTGGTTCTGATGTATCATTGCTGGGTTGATTTGCTAATATCTTGGATGTTTCTGACAGTGGACTGCCCAGATGAGCAATTAGGCTGTACTATCCAAATAAGGTATTTGGAACAAGTTTGAGCACATTCTACAGATAACTCATGTCTTAGTAAAGCCTGTAGTTACACCCACAAATAATTTCACCTTCTTTTTTACTTGTCCTTTGACGTGTACTGCCATCAGAGACAGTATATGCATGTCCTAGCAGGGCAACATTTGAGGTATGAATTTAAGAGTAAACAGTGGGTTCTCTGAGGGCAGGGAATTTATCTCATTCATTTCTACCCGTATAAGATTAAAGTTAAGTGGTGGTACAGAGGTCCAAAATCACAGTGGCTTATACAGAATGGAAATTTCTTCTCTCGCAGGCCTGGTACTGCTCTCATCCACAAAAGTCCTCATAGACCTAGTCCTCTGGTGCTCTGCTCTACCGTCCCCGGGATGTGACCTTACTTGTTCGCCGGTCGAAGGGGGCTGCATCTGCATGCTGCCTGGAGGAGCAGAGTGAGGGAAGGGATGAAGAAGGAGGAGCAGGGTCTATGCCAGCTGAGTTTTAAGGAGGATACCCAGAAGCTGCCATGAGAGACTGCCACATATACGTACCTCTGACTAGAACTTAGTCATGTGGTCAAAGCAAGGTGTGGGTTTTGAGGCAAAGGTTGTGGAAAATAAGCAGTCATTCTCTGTTGGAAAATCTAATAGTTTTTTCACTTACATGGTTTTTCTGAAACAAAGTTATTTGCAACATTTCCCTTTCTGGGCCTGTTTTCTGGAAGAGCCAAGATACGTTAACAAAGACAGTGGAAAACAAAAGTCATGTCGATGTAGAGTAAGCTGTGTGGGGTACAAACAGTGTGGTTCTCGGTACCTGGGTCCCCAGGACCTTGCATGCGGGACGGCACAGTGTAGCACCAACAGAGGTCTGTTGACTGTGTATTATGTATCTGCTTCCTCATCAGAATCTCTGTGCCAAAAATAGAAATAGGAAAGGTGAATAAGGATATGTTCCAGGTTGTCAAAATGGTAAGATTCGGAATTGCATTAGATGCTGCCTTACTGAAGTCTGGTCGGACGTGCTGGAGTCCGTCTGTACACACATGGGTACACACAGAGGCGGGCACTAGGGGTCAGCGGCCATGTTGCCTCAAGAGAGTGAAGGGCGGGGACATGAGAAATAGGCATCACCAGTTTTGTTACACTTCCCCAGGTTTTAAAGTCTTACTTGCACTAACTCGAGACTTTCCTGGCAGCAGTCAGAAAGAAGGGGAAAAGGTTTAAAAGGCAATAACGTCTCCATCATGCAATTCAGTGCCATGCCCCAACTAAAATCTAATGGTACACTCTCTTGCTCGGGGCATATGGGTGAAAGGAAGATGCTAGACTGAGGAGGTTTGGCTTCTAGTTTTGGTTCTGTTGCTGTGAGACCTCGCAGGTCACTCAGCTTCAGGTTTCTTCTTCTGTGCTTTTTTCCTCCATGGACTTTCAGGGAATTGACTCTTGAGAGACGTACTGTCAGCGTGTGTGAACAGCAGGCTCGAATTACGTGTGCTCCCCCAGGCACTAAACATGAAGTGGATTTAGGCAAAAGCTCTGGATACATCAAACACGGGCCCCTGTCAGATGTGGAGATGTGTGGGCGTGTCTGTCACTTGAACAAATACCACTGTCTGATCAAGTATAAGTCGGGGGAGTGGTTGATTGCCAAGGCCCTAAGACATGACAAGTTAGAGTCTTGGAGGCCATTTCAGATAAACTTCATGGGTGTTTGTCTAGTCTGGTAGAGTTGGCTGTGGGGAGGACGGGAATGGCCCTGCCAAGTGAAATGTGGTAACTCAAGATGGTTCTGAATGCTGGAGCAGGCAGTTCAGTGGGCTCTGCTGGTTCTTATGAGGATTCCAGCAAGGTCCCAGGTCACCCACTGTCTGTTGGAAGGTGGAGTGTTTCTAGGTGCTGAACTGAATTGCCATATTCTGAAAAGGCCCAGTGGTTGGCTCTCAGGAACACTATAATTTACTGGCCCACTACCTTCAAAGTGCTGAATGACTGAACAGCGTTGCAGAGAACCATCTGAAGGTATAAATCGCTTCCACAGTGTTGGGAGGTGGCTGTTTCCCTCCCCCCACTTCCTCCCACTAGCTGTTTTTTTGTCCCCTGAGCATTTCAGAACAAGTGAGGAAAGAGCTAACATAGAAAAAACAAGCGAAGTTCTTCTAACACCTTCCTCACTCGCCTTCTTTCCACACCCCCCCAGACAAACAGCATAAAAATAGAACTAGTTATTTTTTCTTGGGGCTGGCTTTGGTCTCCTCTTGTTTGTTTCCTTTGGTGTTTGTTTGTTTGGAGGGAGGGAGGGTGGGGAGGGGCAGAGGGAGAGGAAGAGCAAGCATCTCAAGCAGGCTCCATGGCCAGCACGGAGCCCAACGTGGGGTTTGATCTCACGACCTTGAGATCATGACCGGAGCCGAAGCCAAGAGTGGATGCTTAATTGACTGAGCCACCCGGGTGCCCCGTGGGTTGGTTTTTATCACACCATTTCCAGAGGCTCTGGTAACATGTATTAGGTGCCATCATTTTGCATGAGGCGGGGGGTTGGGAAGGGGCACACTCCTGGAGTGGATAAGAATGAGGGGCTGAAGTAGCGTTTGAACTCAATTTAAGGGTCAAAATTGGAGTCTTGGTAGTTTGTTTTCTTCCCTACACAGGAGGGGTGGGTATAGGCACCTGACGGGCTGGACGTTCCTGCCCCCTATTTTTATCCAGGTGACAGGTTCCAAAAAACTTCCCCAGGGGAAGAAAATAGTCACAAAAGGGGAGCACAGAGCCTAACATTTGTTTAACTGGGGGAGGGAGTGCATGGAGCAGTTTGCCTCACAGCAGTGTGGTGCACGGTATGGGCTTGAGCCTTGGCTGTCAGAGAAATCCACCCCTTTCCCTGCACTTGTCCCCCCAAGGGGCCATCACCCTGCAGCCATTCAAGGAAGACAGGGAGGAGTGGCAAATGTGAAGCACCTCTGAGCCATGCCAGGTCCTGTGCTGGGTGTGTTCTCTCACTCCATCCTCACAGTTGGGGAATCAGTTCCCTGGTTTGGTTTTTTTTTTTTTTTAAGATTTTTATTTATTGGAGAGAGAGCGAGCGAGGGAGCATGAGCAGGAGGAGCGGCAGCAGGAGAGGGGGAAGCAGACTTCCCACTGAGCAGGGAGCCCGATGTGGGGCTCGATCCCAGGACCCCGGATCATGACCTGAGCTGAAGGCAGACGCTTCACCAACTGAGCCACCCAGGCGCCCCTAGGTCCCTGTTTTTTGCAGATGTGCAAAAAAAGGTAAGTATTATCAACTCAGGTGGCAGAGCCACATTCAAACCCTGGTCTAATTTCCAAGCCCAGGATTCTTTGAGTAGAGAGGAAAAAAAATCTGACGGTCTCAACAAGGTATAAGTGGCTCACATGCCCAAAACAGAGCCAGAAGCAGTCATCTCTGAGTCCCCCTCCAAAGATGACTGTGGGGCAGCAGTTGACAAAGCTGAGCCAGTCAGCTTCCATTTGGCCCGTGGGACTCATGCTGGGCACCTGGTCCTCTGGAGAGGAGGACTTGCTTCAACTAGGTTTAATGTATTTCCCTTCTTTCCTCCCTCTACAGATGGATTTGTCTGTAGAAACTCTCTTCAGCTTCATGCAAGAGCGCCAGAAAAGATATGCCAAATACGCGGAGCAGATCCAGAAAGTCAACGAGATGTCAGCCATCCTCCGCCGCATACAGATGGGCATTGACCAGACTGTGCCCCTGATGGAGCGGCTCAACAGCCTGCTGCCGGAGAGCGAAAGGTTGGAGCCCTTCAGCATGAAACCAGAGCGAGAGCTCAGGCTCTAGAGCTGCCTCTCCCCTCCGGCCAGGCTGTTGTTCTGTGGGAACAGAGCCTGGCACCGCCAATGCCCTGAGGACGTTGGGAACCAAAGTCCCAGGAGGTGACTGGATCGTGAAGCTGGTTGGAGGCTCTGGGACTCCCGGAAGGGCTGTGACACGGCCCGGCTGGCCTGAAAATCTGAGCCTGCCCCACCTATATCCCCTTTCCTTGATGCGTTTTTCCCTTTGCAAAACGAACCAAATTGATTCTCGGTGCTAACCGAAGTTGGAGCATTTGAATTATTAGGAGTTTGTTACAGAACTGTGTCGGGAATTCTTTTTATTTTGTTTAGATTTTTTTTTCTTTAATCGAGAGTGTATATTGTCAAGTCTAGCTTGTGGGGTAAAGCTCCAGAGAGAAGGGGAGAAATGTTTTAAGAAGCTCTGTGTCCTTGATGCCTTCATGAAATTTTACTCAGTAGGCTTTCCGTGTTATGAATTGTTGTAAACATAAAGAACTAATTTAATCCAAGTATCTGTGTTGTTCCTACCCTGTTGACGTCACATCAGGTCTTTATCTGGGGCACCCTGTTCCTGCCGTGGCTTAACACTGGTGTTTTTGTTGTGTGCTGGGTTATGGTGTCCGTCCTGCGTCGTCCTCGGAGACTGAGGACTTCCTTTGAACACCCTCATCGGGCTCATCTCCCACTGATAGCTGGTTTCCTTAATGCAGATATGGTTTAGCTTTCTTTTTATTACATCAGCACTGGCAAGACTCCAATGTCTGTAAGAAGGTTTTAACCACATTTATTTTACTAGCCCGGCAACCCTGCTGCGTTAGGCAGCCTTTGAAATGCCTGCAGCGGGCGTGTATCAAGCCCACTCGAGGCGCCTGACATGGTGCCCCGACTACAAACAGGGCTCCGTGGTCCCGGCCCTTCCTTTCTGAAGAGAGGAAACTCTCAGGGCTGCTGAACTGCCGGGAGTTTAGGACAGGAACCCACCCGAGTAACCACAGAAGTACTTAGTGCAGGAGTGTGCACATCAGAACTGTCCCCGGGGAAGAGAAGACTGATGACGCAAAGAAACGGAACGGAGGACGGGGCGCCTGGGGGCTCGGTCGTTGGGCGTCTGCCTTCGGCTCAGCTCACAGTCCCAGGGCCCTGGGATGGAGCCCCGCATCGGGCTCCCTGCTCTGCGGGAAGCCTGCTTCTCCCTCTCCCACTCCCCCTGCTTGTGTTCCCTCTCTCGCTGTGCCTCTGTCAAATGAATAAAATCTTAAAAAAAGAACGGAGGAACAGATCGAGGCAGGAACATTGCGACCAGGAGCTGGGGCAACTGGTAAGCCTCTGAGACCAGGACATCCTGTCAGGACTCACCTCACTCCCTTTATTAAATCCTCTCAACTTCAGAAGGTATTTTTTAGATGTCAAAAACAGCCTTCGGTATATTTATAACCTTAAAGTTGAGCCACTTACTTTAGCATTTCTCTGTTAAACTGGATCTGATTCTCATCTCAGATTTTAAACATACGATTTTGGAAGATTCTTAGTACCCAGGATAACACAGAGGACATAAAACAACTGGATGACAGAAGAAACCTGAGCATTCGAAACTAAATGGAAAAAAATTTTAATTCGGACATGGGGGGGGTGGAAAACAGCTTCTAGGATTTTCGAAGGAGCAACCCAAAAATGTCAAGATTGTTCATCCCTCTGAGCTGGAAAGACCAGATGGACACCAGAGCCCAGGGAAGAGGCTGAGGCAGCGTCCCCCTCGGTCAGGGGGCAACCTTCACATGGCGTTTCTGCCTTCCTGGGGACTGATACTTTCCTTTCCCCATTAGGAAGGCGGGCTAGAGATGTCCAGCCTGAGGGGATAAAGTGGCCTGAGGGAGTCGTGGGGGACTCGGAAGCCATAAGCTGGGGAGGGAGGAACTCGCCCTTTAACCTTTGTTGGGCAGCACTCATCAAAGAAGGCGGTGTTTCTAATGCCTTTTGATGGTCGGGATTTTACTGGGTCTTAAACCATTTCTAGAGGAATTCATTCGCGGGTACAAATCCAGAAAGATGTTTGTTTCTTAGAAACCTATTAATAGCTAAGGTTATTTTAGCAAATGTCACGGAGGGGAAGGTGGCCACGTTTATTGAATGACGCGTCGTCCCTCCGCTGACGCGCAGTACCCCTTCTGTCGTGTATCACGTTTCCACATGATTGAGGAGCTGGTTCTGAACTATATTCGCATCCACTCGCCTTTCTCCCCACTGTTTCACGCAGTTCTTCATTTTTCTATACGGTTTTAATATCATTTCATAATACGTTTTAATATCGGCTATAGCCAGTCTAGGTGCCACCTGTGCTCGTTACTGTTTTTTCCTTTTATTTTTTTTTTTTGAATTTCAAACCGGCAGAAATTATGTCTTGAAGAAATAATGTAAGGAATACTTCTATTCTCTTTGCCAAGACTGACAGGAAGTGGCTTTTTTAAGCCATCACCCTCATCTTTTTCTGAGTTCCTGGAGTGTGCAGACCCAGCTCTGCCTGCAGCTTTCAGAGAACGAAGAGCTATAAAAACAGCTCGGGGATCAGGTGCCATTACCATCACTGCACTTAGTATAATTTACAAATTAAAGCGCAGAATGAATAAAATGAGATGCAGACCAAGCCTACTGAGGACGGAGCTTGCTCACCGTGCGTCAGCAGTTCATGGTGTGAGCGTGGCAGGAAGGCGGACTGACCGTGGCATGAGAACATTCTCCGCCAGCCGGCCAGCCAGCTCGCCACCCAACTCAAAAGCCAACTCCTCTGCTTCTGAAGAAGTTAGACGGGCACCCGGCTGGCCCAGTCAGTACAGCGTGGGACTCTCGAGCTCAGGATTGTGAGCTCAGGCCCCATGTTGCGTGTAGAGCTTACTGGGAAAAAAAATGAGTTTAAAAAAAAGAATGAGAATAACTTACGTTTGGGTCCTAAGTAGCAAGGCTACTGATTACTGGGTAGAAGCAGAGAAGAACAATAGGCAAATTCAATATTTTTTTTAAAGAATTCTAGTGAGTTATGGTGTGGGGGGTGGTTTTGCAACGTCGTCAGCTTGGCTGGGCTGGACTGTTTGCTGCAGTCCCCTTCCCTGTTCGTTTCTGGTTAGGCCTGGCCACGAGAGCCATCTGCGTGAGGTGTGGAAGTGGACAGAAAGCCGCAGCTCTGCTCCGTCGCCGGAGGTCGCCGATGTCAGGCCCTGCTGCACCTCAGGCTCGCGCTCGCGGACGGCTGCCGGCCTCATGGCTCCCCTGGCTGCCACAGAACCCTGCCTTGGGCTCTTCCAAATCGCGGGCCAGGTACGAATCGAGCTTCTCCTGTAGGCCCTCTGTGGCAGGAGGCCGCAGCTTCGAGAAGAGGGGAGGCCAGCGTGGGTCCTAGCGAGAGGCGGACGCCGGTTCTGGCGGGCTGCTCGCAGGTTCCAGCCATCCTGGCCATCCCTTCTTTCCCGCCCGCCTGCCCGGTGACTTCACGTGCACCGGAAACGGCTCAGCTGGGGCTCTCTTAGCAGCACCCGTAAGGAGGTGCTCGAGGTCAGTCCTTTAACGCTTCCGTCCCTGATTCTGTGTCATTCCTGGTGCTTCTGCTCCGATTGAACCCTGGCTGGTGACATGGCGCTACCAGCCCTTTCCGGCCTCAGATTTTTACATTTTCTGGCAGATTCTGGGAATCTGCGTGATGTGCTATTTGAAGAGCTCATTCTGCTGAATCTCTGTTGCTTAATGCCCGGCGACCTATCTGGACCCTCTAGGAGCTTCGGGGACAAAGAGGCCCCCTGGAGTTGTAGGGGGCCCTGGCTGTAGATTTCCAGCCTGGACCTTTGGCAGATGCCTTCATTTCCCTGAGCCTGTTTCCACCTCCCTGTGGTGTGAGCTGGTCCGGATGGGCTCTCGGGCCCCTTCCAGCCCCAGGATTCCCCTTCTGTGACTCTCATACTCTAGCAACACCTATTGTCTCTGAGCAGTGGCCCTACGTTTCAGAAGTGACTTTAAGTTCTGAACTCTCAACAGAGCTTGTTTCCTTCTTTTGTTAATTAGAAATTAGAAAGTGTCCAGTGGCTCCCTCCTTTTGAGCACCAGTTTTGCTAATCTATTGCTCTATGCATCTGTATTTATGAACACTGTCAAACAGGCCCCTATAACCACAGTGTCCTTGTTTGACTCAAAGTGGATGTTTGTAGAAGCTGGCCTTCACCCTGTGTCATGTGTGCACGTCACTTTACAGGGAATGAATTGTGGGGTTAAGAGCCAGTGAGAGTGTAGATTCCATGAGAGCCTATATAATTTGACAGATGTCATGTCTTTGTTTCCCTTAAAGTTCTGTCCTTCTTAGGAATGTAATTTATATTCTCCGCAGAGTATTTGAAGTGAATTCTGAGGACTCCATAGCCTGAGATACAGGAGTGCACTCAAGGAATGAGGTGGGGCTTTTCGTTAAAATCTCCTCTGGGTATTTTTTTGCTATTTCCGCCGACATATGAAGAAGGTACGTTATGGGTATTCCAAACATGCTGTTTCCAAGGTTACATAAACTAATGGCCCTGGGGGACTGACATGTGCCCCTGCTTCTGTGGAGTTGTAGAACTTACTTAGCTTTGGTATTTCCCTTAGCAAGTCCCAAGGCAAAACCAGGAATCTTCAGGAATGGAAGCTGAGAGCAAACATGGATTGAGATTCTAGGGTGAGTGAAATTTTGTCTTCCCGATTTGTTTATAGCTCAGCTTAAACCCAGACACACAGTACTCAGTAGGAAACTACTTAAATGTTGCTATTAAAGATCAAAGGGGTAGAGTGAAGTGACAGTTTTTCTTCTTTAGGGATGTCAATTGTTCTTCATGCCAAGAGAAAGAATTTGCTCTTCTTTCCCCTGCCCTTTCATTCCTCAGTTAAGAGCTGCATAGCGCCCCAGAGAAGAGATCATTGCTGTTGACTAACGTATAGTAAGGAACATTGAATTTCTTGCACACACACAAGGTGTGTCGCTTCCATTCAAAAGGCCCGACTCCAGAAGGGAAGGGTGACCAGATAACTTCTTTATTCACATGCCTCAAACCAAAAAAATAAAAATTTTTGGCAACTATACCTAGTTGCTTCCTAGTCTAACCATTTATCTCCTGTGGGGCGCTGATGTGTGTCCACTACTTTTAGGAATTTGTGCAGGGTTATCCAGGTCGGCATAAGGCCTGATGGAATTTACTAAGGACTCCATTTTCTTCACCAGTCAAGGCATCTTCCTACTGCGGCCTTTTACTTTTATTATATACAGTGAGCGGGATTCACGCTCCAAGCTTTGGTGAACCAAGTACTTTAATTTCAGCCTTTGAAAACTGTCACAATTGCCTTGAGCAGAGAGAACCCAGAGCACGGCTGCACTCAGCCTCTGCAAGCCACACTGTTTGCCTGGGACACTGCTCCCGCGAGGTCACAGCCTGCATTTCCCGTGGGACAGCGTTTCCATGGGCTTTACTGTTTTAGCTAGAACCAAAGGAATGAAACTGGGT